CATGTCATTATTTTTATCTTGCACTTTTGAGTTAAAATAAACTCATTATTGATTTGGTGTTTGTTGTTGCATCATATGCATGACTGTCACTAAACTAGATTGATATTTGGTTTCTTAATGAATTCATTAGGCTACTGTTCTTTAGCTTGAGATAGCTGATTTTAATCGAAGAATAGATCTTATTCTTATGTTAGTTCTGCCTAGCTACTTTTGTTTTCCGTTAAAGGAGGTTTGTATTTGAAAATTTTCAGATTTCTGTCCTTGTAAGTGCATTTGTTAACTTTATAAAAACATATTTGCTCTTAGTAGGTCTTATTCATTCTTATCTTGTATATTGTCTGAAAATCATTAAAATGTTGTTAAATTAAAGATTCCTGTGAAAATGAAATTTTATCAATACTTCACTCACTACAACTGCATGATGACTACGAAAGACATTCAATTCAATTAAGGATTCTGGTGAAGACTTTTCATCACTACTCTATCCAATAGCACCAGACAACCACTGGCCTCTACCACATATCCACAACCGCCCACAACCACCACTAACTACCTTCAATGTTAGTTACCATCGCACAGCCTCCATGTCAATCAGCTACTTCCATAACCAATCACCAACACCAGCCTCCTTGTGACTATTACCTACCACCTCCACCACCATCACCACCAACCACATCCATTACCAATCACCTCTATCACAGTCATCGTGAACAACCACCATCGCCTTCCACTGCCAACAACCACTATCGGTCACAACTGCATAACAATCAGCTTTGGCCACAGCCATATACCTATTCACCAGCCGGGAATGCACGTCCGCCATCTTCGGCCACCTCTCATCAACCAGAACAACCGCCTCACAGGTCAAAACTATCACAATTGACCACTGTTGCTCGCATTCAATGTGTGGTTCAAACAAATAATTTTAAAATACCATGTAAGTTAGCTTTTTTCAAATACTTTGTTGATATGATATTTAAACAATAATTATTGTATATTTGAATTGTATATTTATTAGAATTTAAATAAAAATATGTTTATCCATTCAGATAATGAGAAACAAACAGTCTTCATTATAGCGTCTTCAGGTTTTAGATATAACATCTTAATCATCATATTCGGAAATTTTTTTAATCATAAAAAAGGGCTTTGAAATGCCTTATATGCTTCAAGCCCCCTTGTTTAGAAATAAGCCATGTAGTGGTATAAAGCCTCATTTACAAATAAGCCATGTAAAATTAGAGGTTTAAGGAAGTAGGGGAAGGCATACGTAGTAGTTCTTTTAGAGGATTCAGTGTTATAAGAACCATGATTGAGGGAACAAAATGGTCAACAGATCACTGATCCAAATACCTGATATATCTTATCCTTACAAGTTTATGGTATAATTATTTTCTGTTGACTCTATCAGTTTAAAGATTTGAAGCTAGTTTCCCTATTATTGTTGTGTTGTCGCTGCAGGATTCAACTTCCTTGATCTTTCTTCTGCATCATCACTTCTTTCAACTGGTGAATATGGCGGTCTTTCTAATGCAATACCCCAGTTACCAAGGCGAAGCCAATTGTCCATGACCCCTAGAGCATCGAAGGATGTCCCCTATAGTTACAGATTCCCTCCGATGACCAAAAAGCCGAGGTGGTGGTGGAGAACCTTAGCATGCCTCCCTTACTTGATGCCACTTCACGAGACTTGGATGTATGCTGAAACAGCATATCATCTCCACCCCTTCTTGGAAGATTTTGAGTTTCTGACATACCCTTTTCTCAGAGCTATTGGGAGATTACCGGGCTGGTTTCTAATGGCGTACTTCTTTGTTGCTTATCTCGGTGTAGTGAGGAGAAAGGAATGGCCTCATTTCTTTAGGTTCCATGTGGTAATGGGGATGCTACTCGAGATTGCCTTGCAGGTTATCGGGACTGTAAGCCGTTGGATGCCACTCGCGGTATATTGGGGCAAGGTTGGCATGCATTTTTGGACCGCTGTCGCGTTTGCCTATCTGTTCACAGTTTTAGAGTCCATAAGATGTGCACTTGCTGGGATGTATGCTGACATTCCATTTGTGTGTGATGCAGCTTATATCCAAATACCTTACGATTAATGAAACCCAACATATAAGGTCCTTGTACCTATGTTACTCGAACTCTCCAAAAATGTTGCTGTACTCGTGCTGGATCCGACACACACTCATCGATCTTATTGAAGAGTCCGAGCAATATAGCTCTGTACACATGGAAAATCATGTATCTTATGTCTTTTTGATAGAACATCAACACAAAGGAAATCTTTTGTGTAAACAGAGTTATTTTATTTTCAACCTTGTAAGATCATCAGATAACTTGTTTTGCTACCTTCACAGCCTAGTAAATGCTCTTGTTTTGTTTACATGTAAGAGTACAAATTTGAATTTAATTACATATTTAAAGTGATTGTATAAAAAATAAAATTAAATTAAATGACGATGTCAAAACAAGTCGAATATTTAGGCTATGGCTCATATCATGTTGGACTTGCAAGTAATGGGCCATCGTCACTTAACTACGTATAAATGGTACACTTAATTTGAAAATAATTTTGTCATTTTGTCCATAGATAGTAGATTGTTGGTGGTCTCCCCAATGACAAGAAAAAGAATTTATATTGTGGTCCATTGGATGTTGAAGCAACGGTAAATTTATTTTTATGATTTTTAGGTAATCGATTTGAGTCATGGAAACATTATCGATGCATTATTAATGCTTTTAGAAGAGTGGACCATCGACAACACATCAGAATTGATTTTTTTATGTGTCTTATTTGTTAACGTTAGATGTTTTATGCATTAATTTATTACATTATATTAGGCTATTTACAACACATCTTTTGAGGATCGAACTTTTTTCGAACCCTACTAACACGAGATATTTTTATGCACTTCAAACAAAATGGGGACCCCACCACATAGTTCTATGTCAATCTTCTTGGGAATTTATGTTAGGTGTTTTGGTTACCCAAAAAAGAAAAAAAAGTCTACTCGTTGTGTCAAAATCAACAAGGAACCATTTGATTGATGTTTTATAATGATTAGTCTTTGCTTAAAATTATTAATTATGATATACGATAATATTGATTGGACGTAGGAACAGATCTACATAAAGTTCAAAATTTATCATATTGTAAATCGAAAAATTATATCGTATATATAAAAACCTAATATGTACTTTATATATTTAATAGGTATAAATTAATATTGAACCCATCAACACAAAAGTAATTATCATGTGTAATAACTATATGGTAATTAAACTATTTGAAGATAACAATAGTCCTAAGTAAGTAGATTTGCATTTTTAAACATAAATATGTTTCCAAATTTTTAGGAAGTTAATTTATTTTAGATAATTGTGATTTGAGGGTTTTGATAACCCTTTTTAGAAGACTACAATAATAACATATTTAATATATTTTCACAAAGTAAAATTCAACGAAAATGAAACTGATTACATATTTTATTTCTATTTTTCTGAAATTTTAACCAAACTTTTAGGCAAGAAGATAGATACGTTGAACGCAAAACTCATTAAAAAGCAAGTAAGCTTTTCCCCAAATATACTTTTTAAAAACTTGATCAAGTACAAATTACTCCTTTAACATCAACTAAACATATTCTTAAAATTGAGTTACCAAACACTCCTTTCGTTCCATTTTATCAGTCACTTTTCAGATTTTTCGATATATAAACAAATCTATCTTTGATCGTAAATATTTCATAAATCTTTTGAATTATCAATTATAGTGACTTATAATGATTAAACGCAAATTCTCGATCAGACTTAAGCTGTTCGACTCTTGAAAAACGAAAAAATCGTACTTCTTCATATTATAATCTCTTTCCACGTGTCATGATCTCTCATCATCTCATCAGCCAGCTCAGCAACCTAAATAGGACCCACTGACACGTCATTATTATTTCAACCAATAAGAGAGCGCGTTGTTCTCACGCTCCGTAAATTTTGAAGAATTATCAGTTCCACTTTTTCGGTTCAAAAAAAGTTCCGCCACAAAGCTTTACCACGAGGACCACAACTACCTCCATTGCACCTTTAAAATACCCAAAACACCCTTCTATTTTCATCGAATTTACTGTGTTCTGCCATTGCTTACATATAGTATTCATTACAAGTTGGCCAGTGTTTTTCTTTTTCATTTTTCACGGGAAAAATGTTGGAATTAGTGCCTCCCGACGGCGATCACGGCGGAGAATGCGGCGGCGAAGAGCAACTGTTGTTGATGGAGACGAACAATGTCGACCGGTCATGGAGGTTGAACTTCGATGAACTACGGTTATCGTCTGAGAATAAAGAGAAACCTCTTCCTCATGGATTACATGATTGTCTCGGTGTATTGTGTAAATTTCCTTAGCTTTTCACCTTGTTATTTGTTGTTGTTGAGTATGTATTTTTTTTTGTTTGATTAGTTGTGTTATTGTGTTAGATTGATTGTTAGTGTAGTGAATCGAACGGAAACATGGTGAGGTAGCTAAATTTAACCAATTAGGGATGGATGAATAGTTGATTTTGATATGTGTTTAGGGTGAAGTATGAACTGTAGTTATCGTCTGAGAACAAAGAGAAGCCTTCTTTGAGCTCAGTAGTTCTTCGACGTAGTTGTGATTCACTTTTTACGACTAGGAGTAGATTTTTAGGGTTGTTTTTCTGTTGATTAGTTGTATTAGGTGAATCGAACGGAGAGTTGTTTATGAGCGGAATGTATTTAGAGGATTTATAGAGCTGATTTCAACTTATTAGGGATGGAGAAATAGTTGATTGATTAATATTCTTTTGTGCTCAGGATGAACTGCAGTTATCATCTGAGAACAAAGAGAAGTATCCTTGTGGCCTCCATGATAGTTAAATTTCTCCAGCTCTGTAAATCATCCATATAAGTTATTGTGGTTCACTATTTACGACTCGGAGTAGATTTTGAGGTGTTGTTTTTCTATTGATTAGTTGTATTAGGTTGATATAAAGAGTAGTAAATCGATGGAGACTTGTTCAGGTTGAGTGGAATGAATATGGAAGATTTATAGAGCTGATTTCAACTAATTAGGGATGGAGGAATAGTTGATTAATATTCTGTTGTGAAATTTTTGGGGAAAGTCTATTTTATACATCAATTTGTTGCCACGTGGGTCCAATTTTTGAAGAACAATAAGATTCTTGTATGGATGGCTTAAATTTTGCAGAAGATGTTAAGCAATATTTTGTGCTTTTTTTTATTGTTCTGTGGACTATTGAACATGTTTGATGCCCAGTTCAATGGTTTAGATAAAATTGGCATATTATGTATTTAGAGGGATGATTCTTTTTGGATGGTTACGGTAATCAGAACATATGCTTTTGAGCTCAAATTTAATGTGTTCATCACTTCAGCTAGTGAAAAAAAGAAGGGAACTTTAGTTGAGTGCAGTTGGTAGTAAGTCTATTAAGGTCATGAGTTCAAGGGATCCGTTAGTTTCCTCAATGTCTCTGCAGTTCTTAGGTCAGTGTAATAAAACATGTGTAGTTGGATGTGTGTGTGTGTGTTTGCTTGTGAGATGAGCCAGTCAATAGATTGTTTCGAGAGGCTACTTTCACATTTTCTGTTGAATTGTTAAATATGCCCATGAAACTGTAACTCTCGGATTTACATTGTACTTCTAAAATTTGTTATCAGCTTTGATTAATTGATATGAGTGGTTTCATCAACTCTTTGGGTTAGTACTTAGAGGAGGCTATACTGCTTTATAGAGATGCATGTAAAAGGGACGGCTTATTACACACACTGTTTTTGTCTTTGGTGCTTACAGGTCAAGAAGACAACATTGCCGTGTACTACCAGCAACAGGTGGAAATGCTCGAGGGCTTCAATGAAATGGATGCCTTGGCTGATCGTGGTTTTGTACCTGGGATGTCAAAGGTTTTGATCATTTTTTATCTGCTTTTTCTATATGTATAAGATCAATCATTTGTTCCTTCTCTGTATGCAGTCATTCTTCTCTTATTATATATAACTTGAAGGCCTGATCTTTTAATAATAAAAAAAAATGAATGATTCAAAGCATAGACTGATAAGGTCAATTAATTTGTTTATAGGAAGAGAGGGAAAAATTGGCCAGAAGTGAAACAACTGCCATTAGGATATCAAATATTGCAAACATGGTTCTCTTTGCCGCTAAAGTATATGCATCTGTCAAGAGTGGTTCATTGGCCATCATAGCATCCACGTTGGATTCACTGCTTGATCTTCTCTCTGGTTTCATTTTATGGTTTACAGCTTTCTCTATGCAGACACCAAACCCGTATCAATATCCTATCGGGAAGAAACGTATGCAGCCTTTGGTTAGTGCCACTGCTTTTATTCTCCAAGGCTTTCCTAAGCCTTTAATTGGGGCAATTTGCATTCTGCACTTGTCACTTTCTCTTCTATTTTTAGTTGATGCTCATGGTAAACCTTAATATGCATTTTGTTCAGAGGAAACTTAGCCTTCTTCTTGAGATCAATCTCTAATCATGACATCATGTAGTCCAGAAACAAAAGGAAGATTTCCACCTATAGTAAAGAGCCACAAGAAATGCTATTTTAATTCATCTAAGAAAAATTAAATGAATTACAATAACAATATCTGATAGTAACCAACAACAAAATGTAGAAGTTGAAGAAAAAATGTGCAAAATTTTGATAATGACCTGTAGCAGACAGCTTACACGACTATAATATAACCTACTGACATTTAATTCTTCAGTATCACTTTCTCCAATTGTTGTCTTCTTAGTGTACCTTCAGTGGAGAACCAAACCAGTACGTTGCTGAGACAGAAAGATGGTGAGAGAAATCGAGAATATAGGTGAAGCTGGAGGAAGGCCACTAGGCAAGGGAGGGAGGGGGGAGAGATGAGAAAGACAAGACCAGAAGGAAAGGCTGCAGAGAGATCGAAGCTGATTTGTCATAGTGAATGTAGTGAGATGAAAAAAACAGACTGTGGCTGACAGTAAGAAGAATGAAAGGAGGTGGTTCTGGAGGAAAATATGAAGTGTCTATTAGGAATTTGACAATATTTAGGTGCTTTATTTGTACTGTGGGGAGGTTGAATACGGTCTATTACCTGTTTATGGTCTGTGGTGGAAACTGATGCTTCTGGCTACCCATATGCACCATTTTCTCCCATATCTGGTTAGTATTGATAGCCATTCTGTTGGCGCTAAGTTGTGATCTTCAAATCCATTTAGTTAGTGGTACTTTGTTGTATATACATATAGACACTGTACTTTCTATATTATCATCTCCTGATGTTAACTATAAAAAAACCCATCATCTCCTGATGTTCGACTGGTCCAATATCTGAATAGAACTAAGGAGGGATCCTCGACTTGAGCTACAGTTGACATTAAGAACTTGCTCTTTTATTTTCAGGGAGTGTAATTAGTCTGGGACATGAATTTGGTGTAGTACTATCATAACAGTTTCATTTTAGTTAGGAAGCCTATGATGTGCATCTTAAGGAGGATTATTGCTCTCTAGCTTGGTCCTTTGAAGATAATTTTTCCTAATGTCTGTGAATTAAGTACCTCTGTGAAGTTTTACTACAGTGCTTAGTAAATTACCATTGTGGAGATACTAGTCTATTAGTCTCTTTTATCTGCTCAGATAAATTTGACCACCTTATTTTAATTAGTTCATAATTCCTTAGAATCCTGGGATGATCCCTCTATAAATATAATCATCTTATTTTGATATTTGAGGTGTTTATTTACCATTAGTCATCCATAAAATTGCCCATATTTTAGCAGAAGGAGAATTTTCTTTTGTTTCGGAAGAACCATTCCTAGAACATTGTCTTTTTCACGTTACATGATTCAAAGGATATGGTTTTCTTCTTCCATCATTTATTGCTAGCAAGAGAAAAACAAAAGAAGGAAGTTTTTGATTTAGATCCAGACTCCGTGTAACTTCCACTCTTTTGCTGATTTTTGTGTTGAAAAAGATCTAGTCTGCTAAGAAGTTTTACCATGCTGGCTGATCCTACTCAGTTGAGTGATTTTGCATATAGCTAGAGCAAAGTGCAGGTGTATGGCTAGCTTCAAATGCATCTCGTGTTACCCGATGGGTTCAAGTTGAACTCTGTATTGACTTTCAGTTTTACTTGTATTATTCCTACATATGGTGATATAATGTACATGCATTAATAGAGATATTGTATGATTTGTTTTCTATTCTTCTTTGGGAGCTGGTCCAATTCAACTTCGAAAAATGATACACAGGGAATCCTTGTATTTGCTTCTGTCATGGCGACTTTGGGACTGCAGATAATTCTGGAGTCTATGCGTACACTAATATCCGATGTAAGTCGTGGCTCCTAATATTACCAAGTGCGTGTTATATTTATGTTGTATTGTCTGGTTGAGTATTGCATGGATTTGTAGGAGTCTAATTTCAGCCTTACCAAGGAGCAAGAGAGATGGGTTATTGGGATTATGGTTTTTGTGACTTTAGTGAAACTAGTTTTGGTGTTGTATTGCCGGTCTTTCACCAATGAGATTGTTAAAGCATATGCCCAGGATCATTTCTTCGATGTTATCACAAACGTTATTGGACTAGTCGCGGCATTGCTTGCTAACTACTTCAGTGGCTGGATAGACCCTGTTGGAGCTATGATTGTAAGTTATATCTCCTTGATGGTCTTCCGTTTGGCCATATACAACAATATTTCAATATTTGCAAATTATGTTTTGGCCATCAATATTTGCAAATCTTGAACTTCAGCATTCGAAATAATGGTGAAATATTGAACAACTAGTTTGGGGAGTTACAAGTGAATCAATTGTTCACTCCCAAATTCTCTTTTCAACTTCAAGCAAATATCGTCCAAAATGCTCATGCTCTTACTTCAATCAATGTTAGTGGCTTTAACCAATTTCTCATCTGCTGCAGCTCGCGTTGTATACCATTCGAACATGGTCAATGACCGTGTTAGAGAACGTGAACTCTCTTGTCGGTAAGGCAGCTGCACCAGAATATCTGCAGAAGCTGACTTACCTCTGCTGGAACCATCACAAAGCCATAAAGCATATAGATACAGTGAGAGCCTATACATTTGGTTCTCATTACTTTGTCGAAGTTGATATCGTCCTACCTGCAGACATGCCCTTACAAGAGGCACATGATATCGGTGAGTCATTGCAGGAGAAGCTCGAATTATTGCCAGAGATCGAACGTGCCTTTGTTCATCTCGACTATGAATACAGCCATAAACCTGAACATGCACAAGCATACCTATAATCAAATGGATATTGGTAACATCTTCTCTACCTAATATTATATACCACAAGTTAACTTTGTAATGCTGTCAATCTGGTAATTGCTCTTAAAAGAAAAGCTACTATTATCTGGTAGAACAGGGATTGCTTTATTCATATATATAATATATATTTGCCATGATTCCTCAGTTTGCTAGCTCCTGATATATCTTAATAATATAAACTCGAATTAATCGAATCAATAAATTTTGAATACCGACAAAGAAAGAATTGTATGACAGTGGAGGAATTTTCCAAGACAGGCCCACTGATAACTATATTCTTTCCCAGTCACACTTTTTTAGGAAAAAAGAAAATGAGGTTTTGGGGCAATAATAGTTTTGGTCCCTCTTTTGTATCAATTGTGCTCCACAAGAACAGTGCTCAATTCCCTTTGTGATCTCCTTTTACCTTTAACTTTTTTTTTTTGTTGGTATTCTTTTTCGAGCTTTCAAAAATTATTGGGTGGGAAAATAAATAATCGACTGCTAAATATCTTAACTAAAATATCAATATTGAATTGATGTTTTATGTTTACACCATATGCAGATGTTTTTTTGTTGCTTTGTTGTGTATTAAGAGGTATAATTCACATTTCTATATAAATATTACGATAAAAAGAATAAATCAAAATTATAATAAAGATGGTGAAATAGATGAAATCTCTCTCCTTTAACGAGAACTGTCCTCTTAAATTAGCTACTGAGCAACATGAATTTGAATTAATATTTTTGAGATACCAAATAACTTCTAATAAATGACTTCTGTTGATTTTTGGAAAACGTCATATTTAGAAACAAATTCAGTTTGTCTAATGAGAAACTTAAGAGGACAAAATAAAATAAATCTAGATAAACATTTTTTTTTTGGATGATTTTACTTGCCAAAAATATAGGAACCATCACTAGTTGTCTGTTATTCTTAAAAAGTCTTTTTGAATGTTTCTAAAATTATTTTCTAAAGTAATGGCCAAAGAGTATCACATTTTTTATTCTTATTTTGTAGAAAAAAATTCTTTGATGTATAAAATTATATATAAGCCAACCAAACTTTCCCATTTTTTTGAATAATATTGGCTCTAGTTGGAATGGAAGAGCCCAAAATGGAAGAGGCAGCAGAAAGAAATTAAAGGCGTACCATTTTTATATATATATCTAATATAGCAAAATATAGATATCATTTTAAATTAGCTTTTAAGTCAAATTCAATGTATTGAATAAAAATCAATATATTGATTTTCAACTTTTAAAAATAATTTTGAAATCTAGATATGTGATTATATAGTTTATTGAGAATATATTATTAGATAAAAAGTTTATAGATAATCAAGTATTAATATTTCGTTTATCTTTCTATATTAGTAGCGTAGTAATACTCTTGTAGTTTCTTTTTTCTTTTTCCTCTTTTTTCTATTTATTATTTCTTGTATTATAATTACCATCTAACATATTGTACTGTTGTAATTATTGTTCCTTTTTTCATAATGCTTTATCATGTTATTTCTTTTATCTAATTGCCTTGAACCAAAGATAGTAACCGCACATAAAGGGAGTTAACATATCATGTTAATTCATAAAATTAAAATTTTAATCTTTAATTTTTCTAACACTCTTTATGCTAAGATGTTTCGATCATATAAATCTATCTAAAACAATATGTCTATCATTCAAAGTAAAAACAATCAATATCAGTATGTATTTTATCTTCTCTAAATTTTTACACGTAAAATTACATTAAATATGTTATATTATTAATGTTGTTGGTATTTACTTTTATATATGTGTATATATATATATATATATATATATATATATATATATGTTTTGTCAACTTATATTATGTAATAATAACAATAATAATTAAGCTATACGTGCACCCCCCTCTCCCCATGAGGAAAATGATTTTTGTTGCTTTTTGTGGATAGATACAAATGGGAATGAACCTAACCATCTTTGTGCCTTTATACACTCTTGATCTATTAAGAAAAATTGTATGTCTTTTTATCCAATGTTTAACAATTACTAACATAAAATTTTAATTAATTTAAATTTATATCAGATAATTTTACTTTATAGTAAAACGCTTCTAAAATCTAAAATTCATAAAGTTAACAATTTTTAATAACTTCTTTTTTTTCCGAAAAAAACTAGTTAATACTAAATAAATTGAAGAAATACATATCATTCTATTATAACTTTAGTGGTAATATTTCGACAAATTAATTGATCCGTATTTAATATTTACATCATAAATATATCAACAAGCTTGAATATTTTCATTTTTTTCTATCATTTAATTATACTTAATCACTTCTAATAAAATAAATTGATAATATATTTAGTAAAATCTTAGGAGGGTGTGAAAATATTTATCCAAACCACACTTACTCATAAATCACAATCTATATTCATTATATTTCCTATTCAATAATTTAATTTTTAAAAAGTACTTTGATAATGACGTTTGTGGATATTCATGGCTTGTATTTTGAATTTGTCACTTCACCTCTTCTGTAAGATCCGTAGAATCTATCAAATAAAAAATTTATTTTTTTTCTTTCCTAACCAAAAAAAAAAAGTTTTATATATATATAAAAAAAAAACTATAGAATTATAAAAAATATATAAATGACCTTCGAAATTATTTCTCCTATAAAATTCAGAGTAAAAAATTACAAATTAATTTACATACCAAACTTATAAACACACTCTTATAACTAATATAAAAATATTTTATACCTTAATCATAACAAATTAATATAATTTGATATAAATATCTTCTCTATATTTCAAATCGAAGATCTTTTCAAAGTTAATCACCTCACGAAGTACTAAAAAAGTTTACATACATTCAATCCGTCTTAGATTCTATTTGTACATTTTCACCGAGTATGTTATTATTATTATTGTTTGCATATAACTTTTACCTCATAAATATACGTTTTGAATCCGAGCCATACCACCAAGAATTGTCTTGGAGGTGTTATCTGTAATCTTTAGTCGAAAGTTTTGATTTAGAAAACTCTTGAATTTGAGTCTCGAACATGAAGTTACTTTTTGATAAAAAGTTTCAATTTTTATTTTTAATACAGATATGAAACATCGAAAAAGTGAAATGGAAATATTTTTTTAGAAAAAGAATAAAATATTAATAAGATTCTTAAATCTGATTTGCAAAAATGTTTTTAAAAGTCTCAATCAGTCTATCATATGGCAAATGCAGTTTATAGTTTTTCCGCCAATCACCATTTTTCTTCTTCTCTGACACTTCCCGGTGGGCGCCACCTTACGCCGCCGTTCGCCGCCGTACTCCGCCATGGACAGAACCTATGCTTCTCCGAGCTCCCAAAACCTTACGGCTATAACAACTAATTCTGTAGATTTCGCTTCATCTTCTTCTCCTTCTCCAACTTCCATGTCGACCGGCGGTAGCCGTGCCGTGAAAATCATCCCGCTGGAGCATCCGTCTGCTACGGCATCGTCTACGTCGGCGACGGCGTCTGCTTCGGCATCTGTCGTATCGAAATGGAGGGCGAGGATGAAGGGGATGACGTGGAAGGAATGGATTGAGCTATTTTTTCCTTGTTATCGATGGATGCGAACGTATAAAGTGCGTGAGTACTTGCAATCTGATCTCATGGCTGGTATCACAGTCGGTATCATGCTTGTTCCTCAGGTACAATTTTTCTTTTTGATTGTTTGTTAAATTATGAATTGAATTTTACAGAATTAGTCGTCTCTGTTACCGTATGAAACATAGTTGTTCGAATTCACGTTAAAGTTTAGAACTTTGAATCTCGAAATTTCATCTGTGCCAAATAAAATTAGATAGAGGTAGTAATAGAATTCATAGAGTGATAGTGTTGAGTTAATCACTCTCTCAATCCCATTTTATGGGACAAGGTCAAAGTTCTTCCAGCTTTTTGAAATAAAGTTCACAGATTTGCAAACTTGGTAAAGAGTATTATTAGTTGGACAGTTGATAATTCAATTTATTTAAAAACATTTTTGAAAAGTTTTTGTCAAATGAAAATTGTTTTAGTTAGTGATTACAGAGGGAGTACTTAATTTTTTTGGTTTTCTTGCTATACACATTGAATCCAGCTTATAAACTATGGGTGCATGTACAGTATACTGTATCAGTTTTAGAGTGTGCATGTACGCGTGTTAAGAGTATGGAAGGATCTCTTTTCATCAATATACATATTAAGACCATTGCGTATAAATTATAGATCTGCCTCTAGTTATAAGCTTACTGTTGATGATAGGTTGGATATCTGTGCATTTCATTTGTGTAATTTAATCGTTAGTCAGTTCATACCTTTCTGTCTCCGCTTCTCTTAATTGTTCTCGTTTTCTCAACAATTTTGTAGATTTAAGATAATGGAGCTCTGGTTCCTCGTTTAACTTTTATGATTTGTAAACAGTATAATTGATGATGTGATAGAACTATAGACTGAAATCGCTGCTGATTTCACTTGTCCTCTTTATTTGTTTTGATTGAGAATGAGCATGTGGATACTAGAATCTTTTAGACTAATTGCTCATAGGAAAATGATGATTGGATAATGTCCTAAGTCACCCCTGTTAGTCTTTAGCATTATATTAGCTATCATCTTATGCTACAGTGCTTGTCAACTGTGCTTTTTTTTTTGAGGCACTTTTGGTCTTCAATGAGAATGAATGAATTACATACAGTTTTATTTTAACTGATTATGTTATGCTTACAGTCGATGTCCTATGCAAAGCTGGCAGGGCTTCAACCCATATATGGACTTTGTAAGTACACCATTGGAGCATAATTTACTTATTTAGGTTTCTTTCTTCATTTCAACTAAGTGAAGCAGATACTCTTCTCGATATGTTGATGAAGGCACCTTTGAATACTGATGCTGAAATTGAAATAAATCTTGATTCTTATATGGAGCTCTGCATTAGGTGCTGAGGTTGTTTTCCTTGTTGTGAAATAAGAAGACAATTTTTTCCCCTCTTTGAAGCACTGTTTTTTTTCCTCCTTAATTTAGCATCCATAGCTGAAGAAAAAATCTATATGGATTAAAATTGCCATGACCATTCCTGAGTTTTTCGAATGTCTAGTTGTTTATGAACCTTTGTTTCCTAGCTATGTTCATTTGATTCTTTATAACTAC